CACTGTGACTAACACTTTTGTTGAAGCACTTAATTGCTGTCCCTCTGACAAGTCTTTATAAGCACAAGCATGCTATATCCTTCCCCCCATCCTACTTCAACAGATAGCTGATAAGCTGCTGCTCGGGCTTGGGGTGGAGACTGATTCACTTTCCCCTCATTTTCTAGAACCTTCCATAGCAGAGTGCCTGTAGAGAGCTGGCTAATGTAACCTCTCACGGTCAGTGGAGCCAAGGACAATTTCATCCCCAAGAACATTGTTGGTTTGGGGGCAATGATTTGCATTTAATGAAAACAATAACTTTCCACAGCTGCTAGAAAACACAATTTGGCTCTATTGTGGTGACAAGTGCTTACTTTCTTTCATACCAGCCCAAAGAAGTTTCACACTTCAGAAACTTTCCTCACTACCAGTGGGTTAATAAATACAGATGGAAATTTCTGTATTTCTGTATTGCAGCAGGCTGAGGAGCTGTGAGAGCATAACCAGCCCTCAGCTGATTCTTGCCACCCAAAGCAAGAGGAACTGGTTTTCTGCAACCGGTTTTATAACACCAGTGGGGAAACCGATTACCCTCCAGGTAGAAGCTCGGTAGCCGGTTTGTTCTGGATCATCATGCTTGCCTCCTTCTCAGTTTCTGCCTTGTGTCAACTGTACCATCTCCCTTAGTTTCAATTCCAGAAGTGCCCTTTCCCTGAAATGGCTCTTCTCTGACCACCTGGGCACCCCAGGCTCTGGCCACACCTTGCCTGCAAGGCAAATAAGCACCTTTAATAATCACTTGGGAATAATCTCCTGAGTGGAAATAACAGATAGTCATCAAGAACAGAGGGCTCTTGCCTGGGCTTGCTCTGAAAATCCCCTTTGCAGAGGGGGTGCAGCTCTCTCTCCAGCTCCCTCGTTACACATCTCTTACCGAATTATCGGGACGTTTATTCTGTCAAATATTAACCCTTGTCCTTGGTTGCTTTAGTGAAGAGAGATGGAGGTGGAAGGTAAAATTAAAAAGAGAAAGGTGCAAGTAGAAACCAAAGTGAAAGACGCTAAGGGAGGACCAGAAGTGGGAAGGGAAAGAATGGCAGGGGAGGGGAGGGGAGGGGGCTGGCAGGTCATCTGGGCACAGGGGGCCTCCAGCCTCATAATCTGCTCTGTGCATTCTTCTCACCAGGTTCATTGCTCTGCTGGGGCTTTCATTCTTATTGTCATGAAAAAATATATAATTACCAAGTGAAAAAAAGCCAGGTAAAAACAGCATGTAAGTATGATCCCCCTTTGAAGTATTTGCTGGCATAAAGATTTGGAAGGCCACAGATAGAGATTTTAAGTGTTTATCTTGGAAGGGTAGGATTATAAATGAGTTTTTATTTTTTTTTCTTTTTGCCAATCTCTACTTTCTACAATGGATGACTATTGTTTTTAACAGAAAAGTTAAAATCATGCTAAAGCAGGAAGGGGGCGCCTGGGTGGCTCAGTTGGTTAAGGGTCGGACTCTTGGTTTGGGCTCAGGTCGCGGTCTGTGCGAGCCCTGTGTCCCACTCTGCACTGACAATGCGGAGCCTGCTTCAAATTGTGTCTCCCTCTCTCTCTGCCTCTCCCCCGCCCCTCAAAAATAAACATTAAAAAATAAATAAAAAATTAAAAGGTAAGGGAAAAGACAGACACAGAGGAAGAAACATTGGACTTAAGGGAAGGTGACAAAGGTTTTTGAGGCTATGTGATAATGCAGATATTTAAACAAACTATGTATGCATTTCCCCTGTTTTAATTAATTGCCTGTTCTTTGCATTTTGACTACTATTTACAGTTTTTTAAGACCTCTAATTTTTAAATCTTTAGAGCTGTATTTCTTAAGGAGAGGAGGCACACGTGGGAATCAGCAAGGAAACCTTTTCAAAATACCCTGCCAGGGTCCCACCCTCAGAGGTTCTGATTCAGAGTACAGACATAGGGCCTGGGTAAGAGTCTTCTGGAAAACCTTCCCAGGGTCTCTGATTCTCATCCTGGTTGACAGTTCCACCGTGTGCAAGACGATTCACTGGGGGTACTGAAAGGAAATATTAGAACTTCTAATTTTATTTATTTTTTATGGCATCCTTTAAAAATCTCTACCTGTATGTGTATTAATGCTCTATATAATACTGATATTATAAGACATGTATAATTTGCAAATACATTTACGTATTTTAGGGAGTGTCAAAGACGCTTTTCTTATAAGGGTCTACAATAAAAAATTTGGAGACAACTGCTTCAGAGAATGAATTATAAGTGGGATAATTCAAGTGTCCAACCAAATTAGAAATTTTTCTCCAGACTGAAGTAGAGAAGTGTCACACTATGGATGATGACTCATTTTGACCTACTTAGTCTCCTTCTTAGAAATACATTACTATTTACTGGTCCTGGGTCATCATTTGTGGTGTATTATCTTCCCCAGGTAGGCTGCAGGTGTCTCCTTGGTAAATACACATGCACATACATGCCCCAACTATAGACGTCAGCATTTGGAAGCTCTTAAAGCCTTCAAGAGGCTCATCATTATTCCGTGGTTCCTACATGATAAACTCTTATAACTGCTTTGAAAATAAGCACCTGCATTGTCTTAATGTGAAAAGCAAAACAATGAATAATAAATAGTAAATAAATATTGATTTAAAAATAAAACTATAGGAAAAAGAGTGAGAAGTAAATCTTCTAGGTAAAGAGAGAGAATTGAACATGCACACATCTCCTTTTGCTTTTTTCTAAAGCCTCAGTAAGATGATGGTAAATGGATTTTTTAAAAGGAAGAAATATTAGCAATCAAAAAAATTTTAACTCCTCAGAGCAACAAAATTTCGAAAGCTGAAAAGAAATGTGGCCATGACATAGCAGACAGGGGTAAACGGAATCCTATCGAGCAAGTGGGGAAATTCAAGAAACTAATCAGAATTTCCCAAAGGCTCAAGAATTGATGGCCCCGGAGACCTCTGTCAGTGAGGTGGGGACATGCAAAACCATAAGGGGTGGTTCAAACTCTATTTAGAAAGCAGTTAACTCCCAGATCCTCTCCCCTCTCTGCAGAGCCAGACCAGTACCCACTGCAGAGAGACTAGATCAGGGGTCTGTAGACTGGAGGACATTGGGCAGAGATGATGACTGGATGTCGTACTGAAAACAGAGGCATGAAGTGGATAGGTGGAGACCCACAGCTCTTTGTTTGCTTGTGTTCCCCCCAGTGCCCACAGCCAGAATGACGTCTTTGGACATAAGCTTGTAAGAGTCCTCTCTGGGGAGTTTGGTCTCCCCAAGAGGAAAAACAAAGGCACTGATTTGGGAGTCTGCCAAGCAAACAGCCCAGCCAGAATGTATGGTGGAGCCTCTGGTCAATAAGCCCCTAAGGTTCAGAAATTCACTCAGCTTTTCAGCCCCTGTTCTTAAATAGGAGCAGACAATCAAGGTTTACTAGACATGGAGAAAAGCCTCTTACATAAAATATAAAGACCAAAATGAATAGAAGAAAGAAACTTAGAGAAAAGGGAAACCAAACAGGTTGAGGAAAACATCCAATACCCTGTGATTAATATCCTCAGAGCTGGGGCACCTGGCTTGCTCAGTCAGTTAAGCATCTGTCTCTTGATTTCGGCTCAGGTCCTAATGTCACATTTTGTGGGTTTGAGTTCTGCATTGGTCTCTGTGCTGACAAGGCAGATCCTGCTTGGGATCTTCTCTCTCACCCTCTCTCTGTCCCACTCCCCTACTTGTTCTCTTTCTCTCTCTCTCTCAAAATAAATAAATAAACTTAAAAAAAATCCTCAGAGCTAAGATATGTAACCATCAAATAAGTATATGACATTAGAAAAAGGAACATCCAGGAACAAATGTTAGACCCCTTGGTAATTAGAAATAGGATAATAAAAACTAAAATACAGTAAAAGGGTTAGAAAATGAAGAAGAGTAAGTCTCTGAAACTAGAGCAAAAGAGAAAGAAATAAGTGAAAAATAAGAAAAAAAGGGAATCCAGAACAGAATATCTAATTTATGAAAATAGGAATTCCAAAAAGAGAGAACAGAGAAATCATAGGAGGGACCATTATTAAAGACATAATTGAAAAATATTTCCCACAACAGAGGAGCATGTATTTCTGAAATGAAAGGTCCATCAAATGCCTACACAAGGATTGAAAATAGACCCACATCAAGACACACCAGTGTGAAATCTCAGAACAATGAAGACAACAAAAAGATGCCAGAAGCTTCCAAAGAGGAGGAGAAAATAGCTCCTATGAAGAGGGTGATGAATTAGAATGGTTTCAGGCTTCCCAATAGCAAACCCAGGGGCCAGATGGCAACTACCTTCAAAATTCTCCAAGAAAATGATTTCCAGTTTAGAATTCTATACCCAGCCCAAACTATCTACCAAGTGTCAGGATGGATTAAAAATGTGTCCGGGGTGCCTGGTTGGTTAAGCGTCTGACTCCTGGTTTCTCACTTTGTGAGACAGGGCCCCATGTAGAGCTCTGTGCTGACAGTGTGGAGCCTGCTTGGGATTCTCCCCCCACCCACTCTGTCTCTCTTTTTCTCCCTCTGCCCCTCCCCACACTCCCACCTCTCTCTCTCTCACTCAAAATAAATAAACATTTAAAAATTTTTTTTTCAAAAGTTGCAGACATACAAATTCTCAAGAATTTATCTCCCATGCCCCTTCCCCAGGAAGTTCCCAGGACGTTTGTCAAAATATGAAGCAGGGGCGCCTGGGTGGCACAGTCGGTTAAGCGTCCGACTTCAGCCAGGTCACGATCTCGCGGTCCGGGAGTTCGAGCCCCGCGTCGGGCTCTGGGCTGACGGCTCCGAGCCTGGAGCCTGTTTCCGATTCTGTGTCTCCCTCTCTCTCTGCCCCTCCCCCGTTCATGCTCTGTCTCTCTCCCAAAAATAAATAAAAAACGTTGAAAAACAAAAAAAACCCACAAAAAACAAACAACAACAACAACAAAAAACATGAAGCAAATAACACCAGAGCTTACCCAGAAGGGAACTACCCTGGAATGACCACGAAGCGAGATTCCAAGATGAGAGATGTGCCTCAGGTCCAGGTTGCAGTGCATTAGAAGGCTTTGGGAGAGATTTTGGGGGAGATTGATGAAATTGTTAGAGTACCCAAAGATTCTGAATGTCTTGAGAGCAGACACTGACAGATAGCAAATTTAAATGTGTAGAAGATGAAGCAAACAGAAAGCAACAGAGTTGTTAGCTCCAAGGACAACAAAAAGGTGTGCAGGAAAGGAAGTTATCACGATTTGCTGTGGTTCAGCTATGAGTGATGTTTTATACCCACTGTAACACGAACATTGACTGAGATGACAACATTGTGGAACAGGAAGAATGGAGGATGGGGAAGGACGAACATGTATGGTGGGGGCAGTGGAAGGAAAGACACCTTATCTTCTATCCTGGACAGAAATCAGATAATGGCTAACATTGAAAGAGCAAGGAACAGCATTTCAAGCTTGTTAATTTGGAGACCTGGAGATAAATACCAAAAGAAAGAGGCCTAAGTGTAGAAAATGGTGAGGAGGAGAGGGGATTGCTGTTTTTCATGACAAATTTTGTAGAACAATTTAACATTGTAGATTATGTGCATGTAGAACTCTGGGGGACAAAGAGAATATTTAAAAAGTGCCTACTAATATTTTCTTCAGGAAAAACAAAGCACATCTCCTTTCCTCTCTGGATTCTAATTCCCAGAGCTCTGCTTGCTAGAGACTGCTTGCTGTTCCTTGTGAGTTCCTCCAAACATATTCTGCGGCTCTATATGAGGCTTACGCTTGCCTCATAAACTACAGTCCTGATTGAATCTTGTGATCCACCATGATCTTGAGTCAGACACATCCAGGCCACTTTCATTTTTTGAGGCTCCCAATATATTGAAAAAGAAAAAGTTGCAAAAATGGGATTAAAACCGTGGGTGAGCTTTACATGTCTACGTTAATAAAGGAATACATTTATCAGATACTAGAGTGATGCCAGAGTTCTAAATTTCAGGCCCTAGGAGAATGTGAGGCCCAGGCCAAGTGGCTTTCCTGCACCCCCACCCCCCAGCACTCCCCAGCCCCTTCCCGTTCTGTGCTCAGTCTTACCCTGAGATCCTTTTCTAATTTTACCGTCTTCCCTCTTCCCTCGCCCCGCCTGTTATTGTGCTATTTCCTTCCCTTCTACAGAATGTGTATTATTCTGCATTTGCCTTCACTGAGCTTCATTCAGTTCCAAGCAATTCCTCTGGCTCTTCCTCACCCTGCTGTCACCTGTCCTTTGAATCAATATGCTCTCCATCCTAACAACCCTCATTAATTAATTAAAATGTCCTCCTCTGCCTGTTTTCCATTTTGGTACCACATTCACATTTAATGAGCATGCTGGCCATTCCATTATTCAGGTCACTGATGAAATGTTACATCACCAGCCCCAATCTCTGTGGACACCACATTTGTATGTCCTCCTAAGTTAATAATAATCCACACTATTCATTCTCTAGGCACGCAGCCACTCGTAATTATGTGGTTTAGAATTTAAATTTTAGACCAGTGGTTTGAAAACCTGGTTGCATGCTAGAGACACCAAGGGAGATTTTTAAAATGTGGATCCTAGATCTTACAACAATCCTATCATACTATATTAAAAATAGGCCCAATACTGATGGCTCGGAGCCTGGAGCCTGTTTCTGATTCTGTGTCTCCCTCTCTCTCTGCCCCTCCCCCGTTCATGCTCTGTCTCTCTCTGTCCCAAAAATAAATAAAAACGTTGAAAAAAAAATTAAAAAAAAAATAGGCCCAATAAATGAACCTGGTCACCTTAGATACAGAATCTTCATCTGTTTGAAGAGAAGAAAAGTAAAATATTAGAGATGACGTTCAGGGTCTTGCAATACAAAGAGGTGACAGGCTGTCAAATTTTAAGTTCTAGTTTTCCTTTCCTTGTATTCTAAAGGGCAAAAAACATTTAACTTGGTCATGGGTGCTCTATTAGTTTTCTATTTCTGTTGTAAAAAAAAAAACAAAAAAAACAAAAAAAAACTACCACAAATGTAGTGGCTTAAAATAACACAAATTGATTATATTACAGTTTGGGAAGTCGGAAGTCTGAAATGGATCTCACTGGTATAAAATCAAGGTGTCAGCAGAGCTGTTCTGGCACTATTTCTTGCCTTTTCCTGCTTCCAGAAGCCACCCACATTCCTTGGCTTGTGGCCCCATTTCTCCAGCGATGTGGAGTCCTACACATGCTGTTACCTCTCTGGCCCTCTCTCCTACCTCCCTCTTTCCACTTTTAAGGAAACTTCTTATTGCATTGGCCCTGCCCAGATATTCCAGGATAATCTCCCTATCTCAAAGTCAGCTGATTAGAAATCATGTGTTTTTGCCATGTAGCCTAACATGGTCACAGTTTCAGGGAGTAGGACATGGACATTATTATGGGCAGGGGGTATTATTCCGCTTACCACAGGAGCATATTCAGTTTTCTCCTAGTAATTTCTTTTTTTTTTCTTTCTTTATTTTGGGAGAGAGAAAGAACACATGTGCAAAGGGAAGAGGAGCAGAGAGAGGAAGAGAGAGAGAATCTCAAGCAGGCTCCTCGTTGCCATTGCAGAGCCTTTCATGGGGCCATGAGATCATGACCTGAGGTGAGATCAAGAGTCTGACACTTAACTGACTGGGCCACCCACGCGCCCCTCTCTTAGATAGATAAGATAAACTCTTAACTCTTCATTTAGAATTCTGCACAAAGCTCACAACCCCCTGGGCACAGTGACACATCCTGCCTCCTACCTAAAGGCCTATCCCTAGAGCCCAGGGACCTGCTGTGATCAGGGCCTCTCATATCAGGCTGCAGGACTATTGCCTAACCTTGACTCTGGAGACCACCTCATTAGACCAGCAGCCTCCAGTGTGGGATCACTGTGTTCAGTGTAAGCTGGAAATCTCTCTCCCATGGGCACTGGTACAGGGTGGGTTTGGAACATGCAGTACAGTATCCCTGGGTTAACTTCAATCCATTTTCAGTCTCTATGGCTGCACAAAGGATTCTAAGCCATAAGTTACCACTGGGAAGTCCCTGGTGCCTTTCTGCATTCCCCATTGAATCAGAAGCTCAAGAGATGGGGCCCAGAAATCTGCATTCTTTAATATTTCCAGTTTAATTCTGTGTACTGTCAGGGTTAGGAACTATGGGTTTAGACCGTGTTTTTTAGTTTAGTGAATATATTGTAAAGATTAAAACTGAAACCTTGCCAAAATCAAGATTATTAGTAGCACCTATTACTTTTTGGGAAATGTCAGATTCTTATATACAATTAAAATATATTATATATTTTACATATATTATATCTATATATTATATAGCATATATATTATGATATGTTAATGTATATTAATGACACAGAAGTGTTATATATTACTTTCTGATAGAAAAAAATCAGATTAAAAGTATGTTCTATTTAAGAAAATCCAATGGCCTGAAACCAAATTTATAAATAATAACAATAAAAACAATTAGGGGGTAATAATTTATATTACAAAGTAATTCATTGTATTATGTCCTTTAAACAACATTTCCCTCTAGGTCTCTTAAAATGCCAGTCAATACACAAAAATTCAGTTTGTGTATTGTTTTTCAGGAACATTTCTAGTGCATCAAGCATGGTGCACCTGACTCCTGATGAGGTTGGGCTTGTGGTTCGAGGAATTTGAGTGGAAGAAAAAACAGAGTTGACTGGTCTGTGGAATCTATTGCCTAGGTCTTCCTCTCTGTGGTGTCCCAGGGCCAGGTATGCTAGCTTGGTCACACCCTTGTCTGCATTCGAGCCCACGTAGCTCCAGCTTTAGGCTCAGCCCTGTATTCATTCCTGGGATGACTCCTAAAGTCACAGGAGTTTCAGAATCCCTAGCTCAGCACTGAGAACAAGCATCAGATGGCCCTGACCTTGGTCCTCACTTCTGATAATTGGGATTTCAGCTTTCTTTCCCAAGTGTTGGCCTATAGCTTGAGCTTCTGCTTGGGGTGTCTGCCTTCTTTGGAGCTTTTTACTTCTCCTCTCCATGGCAGGCTCTCAGGACGTTTAACTTGAAACCTTAGCCATGCGTGCAGAACCTGAGACTGTCCCTGAAAAGACAGGCTCACACCCACCAACCAGTGGCTTGAGAAGGAACTTGTTCTCCTGTACTAGGATCCTATGATGATCTGGCCACCTTCACCCCCTTCACAATGGGCTCTCTCGAATGCCAGTGGCATTGCAGCGCTGGGCTTTCTTCATTTTGGTTCCAGACCCCTGGGTCTATTTGTGGCCTTAAACTGGGCCCTGGCCTGCTTGTCTGAAAATTTAATTCTCTCTTCCTGTTAGCATTTCTTCTGACGCAAGAATTAGATCCCATTCTCTATGTCCCCAGCTGCTCATTGTGACCCTGCTTCAAACTAACCAGACCATCTGGATCCATCTTAATGGAATAAGATCTCCCACTAGATGAGAGCCTCTTAGATCTCAACACCTGCCCAGAGTAGCTTCAGCACCTGAGAGTGTAGTGGTTTGCTCTATTGTCCATCCTTTGTAAGACCTGCCTTAAAACTGGTTGGCCTTCCATCTGGACATGTGGTTATCATGTGGTTATTTGCGTCCCAATTCTTCCATGTAATAGATGTGAAATCCTCAAGTTTTGCTTAACTGGTTTGAACCTGAATAGATTTTATAGGTTTCTTCCCATCAAAATGTTCTGACCTATTTCATAAGTAGTTGTGGAATAATGTATGTAGAATGCCTTGTGCTTGGCCTATCATAAGGAGATATTACTATTTCTTTTTTCTTATTTGCTCCCCAGTGACTGCTTGTCTGTGTGGCTAAAAGCCCCACGCATCTCAAGGCCAAATAGGTCCAGAAATTCTCTCTGGATGACCTATCTCATCTCTACATCCTTAGAAGTCAGGAAAAGCCTGAGTTATTTGCAATTTTTGAGGCTCTTTGTATATAAATAAATGTTAAAAGAATGAAAAACTAAGACTCAGACCAAAGAAAATATTTGCAAAAAGAAATATCTGATAAAGGACTTGTATCCAAGATATATTAAAAAAACACTTAAAACTCAAAACAAGGAAACAAACAACCCAATTAAAAAGTAAAAAGTGGGCAAAAGATCTGAGCAGATACCTCACAAAGATATACAGATGGTAAACATTCATATGAAAAGATCCTTAACATAATATGCCATTAGGAAATTACAAATTAAAATGAGATATATCAG